ATAAACAAAAGCAAAGGAGGCAATGTTGCTTTAGTGTCACTGACTTTGTGACTTTTTCTAAAAAATATAATTTATTGTCCAATTGACTAACATACAGTGTGTAAAGTTTGCTCTTGGTTTTTGGGGTAGATACCCATGGTTTATCACTGACATACAACACCCAGTGCTCATCCCAACAACTAAACCATATTTTCTTTGTCCATTCATCGGTTGATAGACATTTAGGCTCTTTCCATAATTTGGCTATTGTTGAAAGTGATGCTATAAACATTGGGGTGCCTGTGCCCCTATGAGTCAACACTTCTGTATCCTTTGGATAAATTGCTAGTAGTGCTATTGCTGGGTCATAGGGTAGTTCTATTTTTAATTTTTTGAGGAACCTCCACACTATTTTCCATAGTAGTTGCACCAGTTTGCATTCCCACTGACAGTGTAGGAGCGTTTCTCCACATCCTCACCAGCATCTGTAGTTTCCTGATTTGTTCATTTTAGCCACTCTGACTGGTGTGAAGTGGTATCTCAGTGTGGCTTTGATTTGTATTTCCCTGATGATGAATGACACTGAGCATCTTTTCATGTGTCTGTTGACCATCTGGATGTCTTCTCTGGAAAAGAGTCTATTCATGTCCTCTGCCCATTTCTTCACTGGATTATTTGATTTTCAGGTGCTGAGTTTGGTAAGTTGTTTTTATTACAAAATTGATTAAAATGAATAGTCTAATTTCCTATAAGCCTGAAAGCAGGTTACTTTCTGCCTAAGCAAAAGCCACACACTTTAGCTCTGTGGCCTAAAAGAGTTCACAAGCCAGTCCTAAACAGCCTGTGTTCTGGAAATGCTTATAATGGAATTCTGCACAGTTCTTTCAGTGAAGAAACTCAGAGCACTTTGCAAATTAAAATTAGGAAAGTGTATATAACCTCTGTATGAAAAATTGTTTACATACCATATTGGTATTAGAACTTACCACTTTACAAAGAAAGATCAATTAAATTCCTAAACTGGGTGTGCAGTGAAAGCATTTAACATAGAATTTTATTTCCAGAGTATTCCATCCTAACTCCTCTTCTGTATAAGTAGTTTATAAGGTTAGATTTTTTTCAAAGGATTAATATTTGAAAGTAGTGGCTGAGAAACACACCCATTTCCTTCAATTTCCTCAGTGAATATAGCTTCACAAAGAAGAGTGAAGTGAAGACCAGTTGTTAGATCAGTCACTTAAAAAAAATACAAATTTTCTTACTAGGAATCTATCATAACCAAAAAGGCAACCAGACTGTGATTGATGGATTTAAGGTAGAGCAGAAAAAAGAAAAAAATTTGTTTAGGTTGGAAGAAGGTTTGGTGGTTGTCTGCTGCCAACCTCCACTTCATAAACAAGGAGAACAAGGTCAGGAAGACTGCATCTTACCCAAGTTGTCTTAGCTAGTAAGTGCCCAACTAGAATTAATATGCTACCTCTATACTGATAGGACTGCACTCAGAGGCTGATTCTGAAATATTAAGGCAACAGGCAGCTAAATTCCTATAGACAAGAGGAAAGAACTGTCGGTTAGAATGTGTCCTTGGGGAAACCATTTGGACTCAGTGGACCTCTTTCCTTATCCATACAATGGGGCTAAATATTGCCTGCTCTGCCCATGAGGAAGATTTGGTTGGGAGAGCAAATGAGATAAAGTGTGGGAAACTTCTTTAAATGTTGAATAATATATGATAACTTTTTGAACACTTGGGATGTGCCAAGTATTGTGCTAGAAGCATCATTTCATTATCACAGCACACATTATCACAGGCAAGAAAGCCATTACCTTCATTGCATATATGAAGGTAAGACTTTGGCTAAATAGTTCACTCAAGACCTCATGGATTTGAACTAGATCTAGTTGACCCTCATACTCAAGTATTTAATTATCAATAGTACCATACAATAATCATGCTATAATATTATATAATGTAATACTATAATACTACATTATATCACTATAGTATTGTAGTAGTGCTGTAGTGCATATTACTATATCACTACAGTATATTGTATAGTACTATACTATTACATGTTATACTATTATATAATATTATTAGTATTACATATAATACATATTATACTACTAATTTAATATATATTATTACATTTATATAATAATACAATAATAGTATTATAATAATACTGCATTACAAGATGCATAGCTAATAGTAAAACTTAACATTGTGTACACATATTGCTAAAGAGAATATATTTATCCTAATGATTCTACATCATAAAAACAAAAGATTTTATTATTTTCCTGATTTTTACAAGTAATTATAAATGCCCTTTAATCTTTTTCAAGAATATAGTTGCCTTGTTTCTAACAAATTATAACACCTCTTTTTTCTTTTTAAATTTCTGAGAGAGAGAGAGAGACAGCATGAGCGGGGAGGGTCAGAGAGAGAGGGAGATACAGAATCTGAAACAGGCTCCAGGCTCTGAGCTGGCAGTCAGCACAGAGCCCGACTCAGGGCTCGAACCCACAAACTGTGAGATCATGACCTAAGCCAAAGTCAGATGCTCAACCGACTGAGCCACCCAGGCGCCCCAATACCTCCTCTTTTTAAAAATGAACTAGTAAGAAAATAGTTTTAACAAAAATAAGATTTCAATAATTTATTTATTGTGCCGAGTATGGGATTTTAAAATTATTTTTTCTTGTATATGAATGTATAGTTTTAAAAGATTGATTTTTTACCATATTGGGTTTAAGTAAATTCAATTTTTCTTACAGTCTTTTTATGATATTGTAACTTGAGAATTGCAATGCTTAACTCAGATTGGGCTCCCTTTACAACTTCTGGACAATTCGCTGAAATAGTGTCCTCACATAATATAATGATCAGCCTTTGTTTTGGATAAACACTCAGTTAACTGATTTCTTATTTGTTTTCACTTTTTAACAAGTTGTGACATTTGAAAATAAATGTCTAGTCTTTTATCAAAGAACGCTTTGATTTTCCCAAGTGTATGGAGGGTGGGGGTGATCAACTTTAAAAACTTTTGTTATTTTTGTTTCAATTATGACTAAGATGTAAGCCTTCAGTGAGTAACCGGCAACTCCTACCTATTCACTCCCTCCCCTACCCCAGGGGTAATGAGGACATCAAGAGTTTTAGCATTTAAAATATATTATTCTTTGTATTCACCTCATCATAAAAATTAGCAGATCAATATGACAAATGAGTAAACCAGAAGATGGCGTTGAAGATTAGCAATCACATTTTACAGCAAGGTAGATGTGAAGTCTCAGAAAGTTTCATGCAGTGACTGTTGTTTTGCACTTCTAAAAGTACATGAGTGAAGACTGTTCAAACTAACTACACCTGGTGTAGAGGACATGTGTAGCAAAATGCAAAAAGTTGTTTGCCATTATTGTTCTTAGCAATCTCCATTGTTTGAGAACACTTTGAGAAAAAGTAATCCATTAATTAAAATGCCATGCAACATTAAGGCAGTGACCTTTTTTTGCTTTGTTCACTTAAGTATCCCAAGCGCCTACAACAGCCTCTGATAGGTAGCATGTGTTCAAAAAAGCATTTTGTTGAATGAATCTATGAAAGGAGGAGAAAGGGAGAAAAACAGGTTGTGACTAGAATTTTCTTTGAACACAACTTTGTTGTTTATTACATAGACTCTGATAATGGAAAATTGCTTGGGTGAATAAAAATATGGCATCCTGTTAATTTCTGAGAAAGTCCTTTAGCTGTAGGAAAAGCATACCAAATCTGTGCCTCACTGCCTGTTTTGCTCTAGCCTAAACTTAGTTTTATCTTGAGAAGGAGACATTGACCCTATATGTAAGTAGAAAAGAGAAAAACTGAGAAGTAAGTGAAATCAAAAGGTTTTTAAAAGTTGCAAGCTGACCTACGGTGGTGGTGGTCTAAAATCATATAGAAACCAGTAATCTGACAGTTTACCTGAAATTACTAAGTACATAAACATGCTGGAAGCATCCAAGATGCTCTGGTGAAAACTTAGTGGGCAGGTGTAGGTAGTTTAATTTTATCATTAAGGATATCTTGGAAAATTAAGTAAAATCACATGTCCATTGAAATATTATTCCCTTTCTGGACATTTATAACCCAATAGAAATTTGCTTCCTACCAGATTGGAGTTAAAACTATACCATTTTAAGGTGAACTGAAGTCCAGATGCAATTAAGTGTTTGGATACTTCCAGACTCCTCCTCCAACTCATTCATGTTGCCATAATTGAAACTTTGGGGTCTATGCATTGTCTGTCTGAATCACCTCAGTTCACCAGTTTAATAGATACAAAAGTCTGCAAGTTTTCAAAATGTACACAGTATTTGAGCCACAGTTTACCGTTCAAAGTATCTGAACCGTGTTTTTCTTCTTTTTCTTTTTAATGAGTAGGATGTTCTCTAAAAAGCTAGGAGGGTAGGGCTCTCAGCAATAGCTGCGATGCCAAGGGTGCCCCCACCCACCCTCAGTTCTACAATGTGGACTATTCCTCCGTTTTTAGCTACACGCTCTGCAAGTGAAGTCCCCTTCACACCAGATTCCCGCTCCTACACGCCCCCCACTTCCCGCCCTAACCACATCGCAGTCGTTTAGCTGTTATTAGTTATCATCAACCAGCCTCCCGCAGGACCTGGCGCTGAGGCGGGGTCCGCATTTAGCGCCTTGCCCTTTGCAGGAAAGCGCCCCAAGTAAGAGTCCCCCAGGCTGCAAACGCCAGATTCGAGTTGCGCTCGCGGCGCACAGCGCGAGGAGGAACGCAGCCGGCGCAAGAGCCCCCAGCCTGGCGGCAGCCGACCCTTCAACACACTCCTTCAAGCCTTGGCCCTGGGACTCTCCCACCCGGCCGCAGTCTCCGCTCACAGCGCCCCCCTCGCCCCAATCCCGCAGGCGCATTGGTACCCGCCCAGCCCCGCCCTAGGCTCCTCCCCAGCGGGGCTTTTAAGCTTTATAAAGTTCCTCTTTCCCATCTCCGATACTTAGTTTCAACAGTTGAACTTGCGACTCACTGCTGCCCTCAGCTAGGAGTCGGGGGCGAGGTAAGGCTTGGGGTCGGGCAGGAGCACGGATGTGAGGCTGGCACGACCCAGAACAGGGAACGCGAGACTAGAGGTCCCGGGGTTCATCTCGAGGGCAACGCTGGGAAACCCAGTTTAGGAGGCGGGAGGGAGCATGCCCCTTGTAAGAGCTCCGATTCCCACCTCCTCTGCTCTGGGCCCCGGGGTCTCTGTGGGGGATTCTTAGAGGGCCGGCAGGTGCAATGCCCAAGCATTGCCCTCATCAGTCTGTGGGTCGGCCCCGCCCAAGCCCGGGAGAGGCCACGCGCTGGACGGGATGGGATAAAGAGAGTCAGGGCCTCAGGAGTGGCCGAGGAGGGGCCAAAGAAAAGACCCACTCTGGACTACAGGCTTTCCCTGAGGGGGTACATCGCCGTACTCCCAAGGCTCCAATCTCAGACTTCTCGTCCTGTGGCCCTGAAGGGCCCAAACTCACCGTGGCCTCCCGCGCATTTTTCCTCGGCTGGTGGTGGTGGAGGAGGAGCTCCAAATTTGGGCCACTTAGGGCCCCACGCTCTGCTGCCGCAACCCCATGCCCTCTGAGAACCCTCCAGGCACCCTCCCCGCCTCCGCTTTCGCTCGCTGGCCTCCGGGGTCCTGCTGATGCTCTGCGCGCCAGAATCTTCATCTACTTGGGTGAGCTCGCCGGAGGCCGGGTCTCCGCCAAGTATTGCTTCCAGGGCCCAGTAAGCCTTGCTAGCTGCAGAGGACTCAGGGATACTCTTGAGGGAGAGAGTGCAGATACTGGAGGAAAAGGCCCAGGCAAGAGTTGCTGGTACTGAGAGCCTGGAGCGTCCAGACTGCAGGCGTTCCCACGTGCGAGATCCTTGGTGCCCGGGGGGCCACCAAGGGAATGTGAATGGGAGAGTGGGCAAGAGTGTTAACTGAAAATGAAGGGAGGAATGGACTGGCAAAGGTCTGGGAATGGGCAAAGAGGAGCAGGAACTAAGAGTGAGCAAGCAAACGGTGCCAAAGATCAAAGATCGGTGGTGGCTGGATTTTGCCATATGCACAAAGGCGAGAGTGGTGTTTCCTGGGCAGCGTTTGGCTGTGGGATGTGTGACAAGAATGGAGAGTCCAGAAGGTGGGGTAGGTAGCTGGACTACGCCGGGGGCATGCTCTAGCGGCGGCAATACCGGACGCTCCAAAGGATGAGACAGGGCGCCTTCTCTCAGGGGCCTTTGGCATCACCGATTTTTATAGAGCGTGCCTAACTGCCTCGGAGACTCCAGGGCCTCGTGGTCATTGCCAGAGGGGTTTGAGAAGGGTGCTCCGAGCGCTGTGCCACGGTGGCTAAAGGCCGGCCCTCTGCTTTGCAGGGCAGAGCCAGTGCCGGAGGCGGATCCTGGGCGCGTGCGGGCCACAGGCGCGCTGGGCATGAACTTGGAGGGCAGCGGCCGAGGCGGAGAGTTCGGCATGAGCTCGGTGAGCTGCGGCAACGGGAAACTCCGCCAGTGGCTGATCGACCAGATCGACAGCGGCAAGTACCCAGGGCTGGTGTGGGAGAACGAAGAGAAAAGCATCTTCCGCATCCCCTGGAAGCACGCGGGCAAGCAAGACTACAACCGCGAGGAGGACGCCGCCCTCTTCAAGGTTACTAGCACGAGGGAAGACCAAGGTGGGGGTGGAGGGAAGGCCCCAGGAGCCTGGTGGGTCCCTAACCTAGATTTCTTGGCGAGTCTTGTAGGCACCGGAAGGTTCTCAGAGAAAAGGGGACTTCTTGGGAAGGGCGGGATGGAATGAGCCCCGCGGGGCAGGCGGTCCGGGAGCATCAGGTGGTGATTGGCAGAAGCCTTAGGAGAAGGAGAGAGGTTTCAACCTTTGTAGTGTTTTTAGAAATGGGAGACCAGGTCCCAATCTTGAGCGTGTGGCATGAGCAGTACCCAGAAAGTCAGGTGGCCCCAGCAGCAGGGGAATAAATGTCTGGAGGTTCAGTTCGGGAAGAGCAGCGGTCCAAGGACTCTGACTCTAGTGTTCTTGGTTGCGTTTCTGTGAATTTCTCTTTTTGTACCTCTGTACCTCCTTGCCTTCTTTGGTCAGCATGTGTCTCTCTTTATCTCCTTGTTTCTTTTCTGTGAGCACCCTTAGATGTGCTTTAGTCTGTATCTGTTTTCCTGTCCCTCTCACTATGTCTGTCTGTCTTTCTCTATTTCACTGTTTTCCTATGGAGATCTTTCTCTCTGGACTTTTTTTTTTCTTTAGTTCAATCTCTCTGGTAGGGTCTCTATCTTTTAGCTCTCTTTGGTCCTTCCATGTGTTTCTCTCTGTTTCTGTCTGACTCCCTCTTTTCAAGTCTCTTTCCAGACATTTTTCTCTACTCTAGGTTTCTCTCTCTTTCTTCCTCCCCCCCCCTCTCTCTGTGTGTGTGTGTGTGTGTGTAGTGATGATTATTTTCCCCTAGAGCAGTTTACCCAGTGAAGTGTGCATTAGAGCCCAGCCTCACCACCTGCAGGCAGAACAGGCAAAGGGGACTTCCTCAGGAATTTGCTCTCAGAATGCCTCAGATTGTTTGACCATTCAGATGTACTCTATGGGTAGCAGCTCACCCCATAGCTCTGCCCCTACTTCTAGTGGAACTAACCTCAGATACTGAGGTGGTGGGCCAATTAGGGCCCCTTTCCAGGGATCCTCCACATCTCACCTACCTTTTATAAATCCCTAAAGAATGTTCAAACCCCTTATCTTCAACTCAGCAATGATAGAGTCCAAGGTGAAAAGTATTTTGCCTAGAGTACACCTGGAGTCTTTTTGTCCCATGTTTTGAGTAACAGTGTAAATCTGAGGCACCTAAGCATCATTCTTTCCTTTACAAATACAATTCTCAGATTCTTTTTTTTTTTAAAGATTTGTATTTTAATTTTTTCACCCCTTCTTTCCCACAAGGCTTGGGCACTATTTAAAGGAAAGTTCCGAGAAGGCATAGATAAGCCAGACCCTCCTACCTGGAAGACACGCTTACGATGTGCTCTGAACAAAAGCAATGACTTTGAGGAGCTGGTTGAGAGAAGCCAGCTGGACATCTCAGACCCCTACAAAGTATACAGGATTGTTCCTGAGGGTGCAAAAAAAGGTGGGACTTTGGGGATTGAGGTCACAGAATATAGGCCACCAGACACTTGTAATGCCTTAATTTCATTCTGAGAGTTGATTTGTCTATTTTATTTCAAATAGCCTGCCTACCTCCTGCCTCCTGCTCAATCCCAGAAGGCTCTTTGCCCAAGGTCTCAGGGTCATAAATTGAAATTCTTGTGGTATTGGTTAGGATAATTTCTCAGATTCCCACTCTGTACCTGTGGGTGTCTGGATATGCATGTGTGTGCATCTGTGTGTGCACATGGTTTTTCAGTAGTTCTATTGGTGTAAGATATATGCCAAAATTTTCAAACAAAATGTGGAAAACTTGTTTGAAGCTTTATCTTTACTTATCAGTGTTTCATGAGTAACCATTTTGTAGAAAGGAAACATACATATATCCACATATTGTTGCTATTTTAAGTTAAAAAAATGTCAGCTTTTAGACTGTAGTGTGGTCAGCTGGGATGCTTATTGAAATTCAGAACTTCTCTTTCCAAGTTTCTGACCAGTGTGTCACAGAAGAGTCCAAGAATATGCATTTTAAACAAATCGTACAAATGACTTCACTTGTGGGACATCTTGCTGGTGGGGCCCTTTATGTGACAAGGTGCATTCACACACAGCATTTCATCTCCTTTTCTACCTGTCCTACATAAGTCAGACCTTGTAGAAATCAGCTTAATGGCAAGAACAAGTAATTGCCCATGGGAATTGTTGGGAAAAAATGCCTTATTTGTCAACATTGTTATGCATTCTAGGAATTAAACTCTCAGGTATTTTTCTAAGATTTCACTTTTAGTTATGACAGTTCCTTTTTTCACATTTTGCCATTTGCCTTTTGGTCAAACACATAGGAGCGAAGCAGCTCACGCTGGAGGACCCACAGATGACTGTGAGCCACCCCTACACCATGACAGCTCCTTATACCTCACTTCCAGCTCAGGTATGGTGGAGAATTCAGGGCTTCTAGAAGCAGGGACTGGGTCTGTGTGAAGCCATGTGAGCCAGATAATCTCATATAGCAGGAAAGATACACAAACAAAAACAGCAGCACTTTGGTTTTTCTGTTTAGTCAATCAGCCAAACCATATCCCCAATCATTGGATGAATGTCTCACTTTCCATCTGGTGTTACTACTAGTGTTGGTCTTAAGGAGAGGAGAGGTGGGTGTATCTGCCTCTTGGTGTATAGACTTCTACTACTGATTCTGAAATCTGGGAAACAGATCTGTTGTGGAAGATGAAACTTTTGGAAACAGTGCTTTATCATGTGAAACCACAGGGCAGCTGATCTCTTCAGACTTTTCTGATGTGAATTGCAGCTCTGTTTTATTCACTCTGGTGGGTAAAAGAAAGCAAATTTCCCTGCAGTACTTTTGGTGCCAGGTTTAACCATATGATGAAGCTTTACATAGGTCATTACTTTATAACACTGTCTTCATTGTGCTTTTTAATTCTTTATGGCTACTTTCCACCTAGTGTGATGAGCTATTCACTCCAAAGTCTTTTGAGATGATAAAATGATTTGGCTGTCAGCCAATTAAGAGATTCTGTGAGGAGTTTGAATATAAAAGAATGTGTCACTCTTTCTCAATGCCAACCGACTGATCTTTGCAGAGCTGGTTGGTTTTCATCTTAGCTTCTCCCTCATGTTTCTTTAGCAGGTTCATAACTACATGATGCCACCCCATGACCGAAGCTGGAGAGAATATGTCCCTGATCAGCCTCACCCAGAAATCCCATATCAATGTCCTGTGACATTTGGACCCCGCAGCCACCACTGGCAAGGCCCAGCTTGTGAAAATGGTAAGGAGTGTGCTGGGCTGGTTCCTATGGCTGTGGGTGACCCAGCAGAACAATCCTGGCCAAAGGGCCCTGTTCTTTCCTGATTTGTCCTTCTGAATAGTACCCCAATTCTTTCCCCTTCTCAGAACTGCTAGTAAAGATCTCACATACATTGGAGAGAGGATTTTCTCTTTCCTGCAGGATGGTAAGGTCCTCACGGGAAGGAATCCAAGGTTTACTAACACTGGCCTGCTTGTGCCAGGACCTGCACAGGGAACTGCCTTATATGAGATCATATTTAAACATCACAGAGATCCATCCCAGACAGTTAAAAACTGCCCCATTGTTTTTTGAGGCAGACTCTCAGAATGTAAGTAATGCACAAAGTTACCCAGTGAAAGTGAGGGACTGGGGTTCAATTTCAGATCTCCTAACCCCAAAGGCCAGCCTTTCATTTAAGACAGAAGATGTCAGATGTCAAACTGGTTGGCTGTAGTTTTTAAATTACCTGTTGGATAGTTTACCATTTTTCATCCTTCCTGAAAATTCCTTGGTGAAAAGTAATAGATTTTGTTAGTATTCCCTTCTGGATTGTCCCTTAATGTTGACAGGGCCACATAATCTTACTAGTTTGTTTCTTCCATACACTATAGCTGTGCCCAAGCCCTCTCCCTATAGGGACACCAGGAGATTATTGAGCTAGTATATTTCTCTTAACCAACAGTGTGCCCATGGAGCACCTGGCTGATTCAGTTGGTAGAGCAGGGGGCTCTTGATCTTGGGGTCATCAGTTCAAGCCCCACACTGGGGGTAGAGTTTACTTAAAAAAACCCAACAACAACAGTGTGCCCATTATAGTTGTTAAAGGTGGGGTTAAAGGTGAATAAGAATGTAATGAATAAGTACTATGAAAAGAAAACAGTCTCCAGGAGGTGATTAGTGCTAGTGTTAGGGCCCAAAGAGCTTGGCTCACTCCGGATTAGATGTGGTGCCATGCCCATAGGAGCTCCCCAGACATCAAAATGAGATCTCTCAGTGAGAGCACTAATCAGCTAAGAGCAGAGAAAACTTCATAGCATACTGAATACAGCAAACTACAAGCTTTTAGGACTTTTGAGTTAGTTATTTAAATAGAAATTCTGAGACAGATAAATACTCAAATTCTTCCGTATGTTCTAGGAATATTTGGTCCTTCACAATTTAGTCCATTTTTTCTAATCGTGTTCAGGTCACTCTTGGCTTTATGGGAATGACTAAGTGTACCATCATTTAAAATTTGTCTTGAGTGGTGTGTTTACAAAAAACCTCAGCATTTGATTTTATTAGCTTTTCAAGAGTGATCTGAAACAAAGATTGTTTCCCATACCATAGTGGAGAAGTTATCTAACATTAAACTGGTTTCTGAAGTTCAGACCTATGGCTAGTGCATCAGGCTCTATTAAACAAAGAACTTTATTAACAAACAATGCCTCAAACTATACAAAAATATACAATAGGTAGATATATTTTGAAGCCTATATGATGGTAAGTTTTAAGTGCCAAAAAATTAGGTTCTATTACATATTCTTTCTCTATAAATATTAAGTGTGACCCAAAGCTTCTAGGTTGCCAAGAAACATGGTTCAATATTCTCCTAAACCCAGAAATAGAAAAGCTAAATAAATGTGAACTAAACAAATTGGTAAGTTTTTAACTGGGCTCTTTGGCATCAGAGCTCAGGTAGACCTGAGCTCACAACTCTTCTATGAACTTGCTATGTGAACAGAATAAATCTTTCTGAGCCTAGGCTACCCTGTTTATTAGGGTAATTATAGAGGGATGTTGGTCAAAAGGTACAGACTTCTTATAAAATGAATAAGTCCTGGGGATCTAAAGTATAACATGGTGACTATAGTTAACAATACTCTATTGTATTGAAAGCAGCTAAGAGAGTAGATCTGAAATAATCCCACTATACAACACACACACACACACACACACACACACACACACACACACACAGTGGTAATTATGTGAGGTGATGAAGGTATTAACTAACTTTAAAAAGAAGAAAGAAAAAATTACAGAAAGATTGTTCCAAGTTTCCTTCCAAAGCTCCTTCCCCTCTCAGTCTTGTTTTTTTCTGATTGAACCTCAGCTTATCTTTGTTCCTTGAGAATGCCAGTGGCCAGTACTAGAGAGCCCTTGGCCCCTCCCTCTCAGGGTTGGTGCACTCTTCAGGGGCTGAGTGGCCATATCCCAGGGAGAGGAGCCATTCCGATGCGTCGGACAGATTCTGTTTAGACTTCATCTGATTCTTATTTGCAAATGCAGGTTGCCAGGTGACAGGAACCTTTTATGCTTGTGCCCCGCCTGAGTCCCAGGCCCCCGGAATCCCCATAGAGCCAAGCATAAGGTCTGCTGAAGCCTTGGCGCTCTCAGGTGAGTGCAGCGTTCTGTTCTAGAGGCACCCCCAGGAGGCTGGCTTCTGCTGTGACTCCACCCTCACCTTTGGGTAGATTTGATTGGGAGGTGGGATGTCCCTGAGTATAGCCCATGGACACTAGCTTTCTTCCGTCTAGGGACTCAGGTAGGTGTAAACACATCTGGCTCCCAACCTGTGTGAATGAGGGACATCATTAGAAAACTTAGCACTAAAAAGCCAGCTTGCCATTCTGATGCCAATTCTAAATGCTGGTTTGAATTGAGTCATTTTAAGGTCTCCATTTGACATCTATCTGAATTTCCAAGAATATGCAAACACCTTAGCTTTACATACCAAGGGCCCCTCTTCAGCCAACATTCTCACAATATAGTATAATTTCTTAGAAAAATACACAAGGACTTCTCAGTTTGAAAAGCTGATCATTCTTTCAGGTTTAGCTGCAAATAGGTCTTCCTCTTTGGCATTGAGTTCTTCCTCTGAAATTTGACATGTCCTACAAAAAATTTGGATTAGATCTGATTTTCAAAGTTTCATTTCTAAAAGAATCCCTACAGTTCAGAGATGTTGCTGTTTTACTAAACATATGTGGTACATGTATATTTATTTTTTTAGATAGCATTTGGATTCTTTTAAAATGGGATTTTTAATTATATTAAAAATAAATAGCTTAAGCTTCAGGGTTCTCACCTGCCCTTGGAGCCTTTTACAAATCAGTTATAGAAAATATAAAGTAAATTCCTAAGGTTTCAGGGAGTTGTGGGCACCTTTCTCACTTCCAGGTTCACCAGTTATTTCTTTTCAATTCTGAAGTTCTAAATGAGGCTTGCTGCCTTTCTTCTTAGATGCTCCTAAATGATGGAGGGGAGATGTAACTGAGCAGAAAGGCTTGTGCCTGTTTTTAGAAACTTTCTAACCCTTCTCTTCAGCACCTAAGACTTGTGTGGGTGCCTGAAAAGTAGGTAATAAACATCTATTTATATCACTGAGACCTTGTGATTTCTGGTGACATTAAATGAAATGAAACCTGCCCTGAAAGTCACCTCAAATGGCCAACTCACTGTCATCAAGGTACCCTGTCTGAGTTTGCTCTCAGCTAGTGTGTTTACAGCAGTAGAAACTGAAGAGGAGAATTGAGAGAGCAATGTGGGTTGTTTAAATCTCAATACTTGCCATTGAAGAATAAGAGGGATTTGTGGGTTCCTTCCTTCCTTCCTTCCTTCCTTCCTTCCTTCCTTCCTTCCTTCCTTCCTTCCTTCCTTCCTTTCTTCCTTCCTTCCTCTCTCTCTCTCTCTCTTTCTTTCTTTGTAGGACAGACTATACCTGTATAATCCAGGATTTGGTTATACAGATTAATTATCAACCTTGAGCACATTTGTTGGAGACCTGTAATTCCCATTCAGTTTTAAAACCCATACAGTTATGGGATTTACCCAACTCTTGCCTTTCCATAAAGCCCTTCTGCATTTCTTTTTTTTTAATTTTTAAAAAATATTTTTATTTATTTCTAGGAGAGAGAGACAGCGTGAGCAGGGGAGGGTCAGAGAGAGAGGGAGATACAGACTCTGAAATAGGCTCCAGGCTCTGAGCTGGCAGTCAGCACAGAGCCCGACGCAGGGCTCGAACCCACGAATCGTGAGATCATGACCTAAGCGAAAGTCGGACGCTTAACCGACTAAGTCACCCAGGCACCCCTAAGCCCTTCTGCATTTCAGTTAAGGGGCTCTTTGCAAACCTAGCTTGTCCTTTCAGTTTGTGAAACCTTCTGAAGAAGATTCTGAAATCAGAAAACTTTTGTAAATGAACTCATATTGTTTAATGTTTTAGAAAGCAGTTATTTTCAAGGGAAATTTTGAAAGTTTAGTGGGACTTTAGCCTTTGAACATTTTTCTTATTGATTCTTTTTTTCCCACATGAATTAATTTTATTATACAAGTAGTACATACATAGCATAAAAACTAACTTGACAATCGAAAGCAAAATTGGAAATAAAAACATCTCATTCCCATTATCCTTCCTGAAACTTCAGTGTGTGTGTGTATGTATGTGTGTGTGTGTGTGCGTGTGTGTGTGTAAGTTATATTATGTTGGTATTTTAGGACAGTTTCAGATGTAAAATATTTGTTTCTTTGTTGAAACACCATTATATTCTTTTGCTAATAGAAATTTAACTTAGGGTTTACTTCCTCCAAAATCAAAACTGATCACCATGCTTAAAGATGAATTTTTGCTCAGTGGCACGTGACTTAGTATTTTAGACATAATTGTTATCATGACCACTATCATCATCACCAAAACAATGACATAGAAAGTTCTTGAGTGATACTAATACAAGTCAAACATATTGTGCAGAAAACTAATGTAAGGGATGCTCCCCCTACACACACACACACACACACACACACACAAATCTGTGATCACATAAATTTGGAAAATGCTGAGTTAGGTAACATTAAATAGATTTTTGCAGTATTTCTTTAATATTGGTCACTCTGTGTGACTCCAAGAAGGAGATGAGGGTATGTAATATTTCCTATACTTCCTTGACTGTGGAACTTTCTACTTTTTATCTTGAGACACCAGTGTCCCACCAAATAAACATGTTCTAGTTGAGTAGTTTGGCATCCTGATGGGTATCCAACGTTCCTTGGTCCCTTAGAACTGACTTTGAAATCTCTGTGTTTACAGACTGTCGACTCCACATCTGTTTGTACTACCGGGAGATCCTGGTGAAAGAGCTGACCACATCTAGCCCTGAAGGGTGTCGGATATCCCATGGGCACACCTATGACGCCAGTAACCTGGATCAGGTCCTTTTCCCCTACCCAGATGACAATGGCCAGAGGAAAAACATTGAGAAACTTCTGAGTCACCTGGAAAGGGGTGTGGTCCTGTGGATGGCCCCTGATGGCCTTTATGCCAAAAGACTATGCCAGAGCAGAATCTACTGGGATGGGCCCTTGGCACTGTGCAGTGACCGGCCCAACAAACTGGAGAGGGACCAGACCTGCAAGCTTTTTGACACACAGCAGTTTTTAGCAGGTAACTCACCAAATTATCTGTTAGAATGGAGCATCCCACACCTGTGAGCCTAAGACACAGAATAGGGGGTGACAGTGTGCCTGCCACAATGGTTCAAACAGAAGGTCACTCCCCCATCAGACAGAGGTCTTCCTTCTAATAACCCCTGAGCCTAGCCAGCATGATCCGAAAATAGATTTCCTGTTTGTTCATCTCTCACCTCTGCCTCTACCACCTGCTCCTCTCCATCAGCGGAGGGGTGTGAGAGGGAGGGAGATTGCTCAAGGGCATTGTGGTTCAGGCTGATATCTTAAAATTCTGGTCTTCAACCAATAGTCACTGACTAATAAAGTTCACACTTTATTGGTAGTATGATCTCAGCAAGCATGTCTGCTGTTTCAGCTTTTTAACGTTCCTAGGAAAATCATAAAGATTAGAATCATTGTTAATGTTCTTGGTCCTGAGATGTGTTACCCCTATGCAAATGTCCTCCACCAGGTGGGACCCAGGATAGAGTATGTGGAACTGATTTTGCAAAAGAGAAATTATGAGAAGGATTTGAGTTACCTCTATGATATGCATGTTTCAAACCTTATTTTCTAAGACCAGTAAGTTTTGTTTTTCTAGTTTTGATTTCATGACAGTTAAATTAGCCCTGGGCTGACTTTTGTGAAACCACTTTTGTGAAATTATTGTTGAAGCTTCATTCAGCTATCTATATGGATGATGCCTCTTTTGGAAGGAGAAAGTTGTTCCATCACCTCACTGCCACCACTTTCTGAATTTAACCTTAAGTTATTCTTTTATAAGTATCCCTTTAGAAACACCCTATGTCTTTAGGTTTTCATGTGCCTTTCCTTTCCCTTAATGTGCTTCTTGATTCAATTCATTATATATATAGTATATTTATATATATAATTATATATATTTAAAGCATGCATGTGCTTTGACACCATTGACATTTGCTTAGCATTTTGGGTTTAAGTTGCCGAAATTTGTGTAGGCTCATCAAATTCTCTTTTAGTGCCCCAAGAAAAATATGTCCCTATATGACTAACTCTTGACTAACATGTGTGACAAGAGGAAGAGGGAGAGCTGAGTTTCTGGTTCCCCGAGGCAGCACCAAGGTGTGAAAAGCATGTGGGCCTGAACACCTCTCCCTCCCTCTGAGCTACAGAACTGCATCCAAGCCTGCGCTGTGACTGTCTTGTCCATCCTGGGGTCTCATGTGGGTGGGTGCCCAAGGAAGAGTCAAGAACCATGAAGGGGTATCTTGTCTGTACCTCTTATGTTTGCAATGAAGTCTGAAAGAGCCCTTATGGGGTTAGATCTCCTCAGAGACTGTGAATCTTGGTCTTTTTGAATTCAGAAGATGCCACAAGGCTAGGGCTTTAGTTTAGGTGTCCCAGGCAAATTACACTTGCTTCTGTGAGTTTCTCTCACCTTGTATATTTTAGGAAGGTAGAATCCTCTCATTCTATAGGCAAGAAGAAGGAAGCCATGATGGACTAGTTATGAATATCCTCAGGCTGTGAATTCACTTGCCTAGAATGTAATATTTATCTGTGAGCAAGAGTTCTTTTTTTCTTCCTCTGTAATTAAAGCCTTTGCTTTTTGCTCACTGCACTGCACAACCTCTTATCTTGAAGTATTCACTGAAGTTCAAGGAAGAACCTATGAACTTAAAAACTGTAGCTGTGTAGACCAGCTTCTGCATAATCAAGGATTCCCACAGAATGTTCTCATGTTATCAAGCATTTGAGGCATGACTTTTTCAGAGAATTGTGCCAGCACGCCACTCTGATTAGCTTGTGTAGGTGTAGTCTCAGAACTCAGTAGTGTGAATGCCTTTTACACATTCTGACTAAGTCAGTTAGGTTTGATTTGAATTCTGGAAGAAAAAAAAAAAGCAGGAAGTCAAACAGTCCAGTGAGTTAGTTAGAAACTTTTCTTCAGTTGAAGAGAACAGTGGAGATCTTTGATATCTACCCATTCAGGATTTGCAAACTACTAGGGGACAGCCCCAAAAGGCAAAGCCTGAGGGTGCATATCTGATTAAGATGCATGCGCATACTGTTCTGCAGAAGTTGTTGCAGCAACCATGTAACTGCATGGTTGTTTCTTTTTTGGACATGACATTTAACTCTAGCAGAAAGGAAAGAATAGGAGCCACTAGAGACATAGGAGTCATCTTGAATGTGGGCAAAGGGACATGGGTCAATGTCAGGGATTGAACATGCGTTGTTCCAACAGTGCTCAGTCTCTGTTTTGAATCCTTAGGGTAGGGTGGTGTCTTCAGGGTATATATATCCACAAAAGTGGGGACCCCTAGTGCTTCATCACTACCTTTCTCATTTCAAATCAATGTCTGTCCCAGAAAATGGGCAAGAAGTCAGCTCAAAGTCCCACAATTTAGGCTTAGTGCCAAGTAGGACACATCTGCCCATAAGTGGTGCTTAGTCTCCAAGATAATGTGAAGCATTTTCAGCAATGACTGAGTCACAGAGAGGACCCTCTATTGGGTCAATGCTGCAAAGCAAAGTTCTTAATCTGCAGAGTATATTTCCCTTAAAGAATCAAGTGAAACCTTGAGCTCTCTCAGGAAAAGCACACATATGAACATACACATGAAATTCTGTGTCTGGGATCTAAAAGTTAAGAACCCCACTTAGAGAAGTAAAGAATACTTACTCCTATTTTAGTTTTCCAGATCAATGTTAAACTTTTGCTTCCTGCTTTAAACTGTCCTGTTCAGTGATGGTTTCTGATCAGGTTTATTTTTTTTTTTCTTGTGGGGCTTCTCCAGAGCTACAAGCATTTGCTCACCATGGCCGTCCTCTGCCAAGATTCCAGGTAACGCTGTGCTTTGGGGAAGAGTTTCCAGATCCTCAGAGGCAAAGGAAGCTCATCACTGCTCATGTGAGTATTTAGTCACATTCAAATTATTGAATTTTCGTGTTTTTCATCAAGAGCAGGATCCCAGTTAGAAAAGTCTCAAATGAAAAGTAAATGTCAAATAACATGGAAAATTGTGGGGGAGGAAGCATGGCTCAGTGAATGGTGCAGGGAGCACAGCCCAGAGACCTACATGTTTTTCCCACCCCTAGTGGTCTGCTAATCACAAACCTGCAGACATGGACTTAATTTGTCCCATCTTATGTATTGGTCACGACATTGTCCTATTTACATTTTATAAGGATCTAAAAGGACTGGTGATAAAAGGTGCTCTTTAAAATTCTCCATGTTTAATATTGCTTTTAAAATGCTGTCTAGCTGACTTTCACTTGATGGAGAAACTTTTCCCAAATGGGAAACTGTTCGCAGACTTATGTATTTTGCAGTTTCCCCAAATGTTTTCCAAATCCTCTTTTATATCTGGATTTTTAGAAATTATTTAACTAGTGGAAATCAAGGACTATGTATTATTTGGAGGAGGCTAGCTCTTTCAAGGAGTTTAAGTAGACCAGACTGCTGCAGTGTTCCATATCAGAGTTTAAAACAGGATGAACTGCAGCAAGTAAACATCTTTTTCATAAAAAAAGAAAAGAAAATAGGTTTATATCTGTAAAATTTAGAATACATTTGCCACAGGAAACAAAGTTTTGAATACCTAAGATTTTTTGAATCTGAAAACTTTATATTGCTACCTACCTTTGAGAGTTATTAATGGGTCCAGACAATAAGCAGTAATAGTTAAAAAATTGTAACAAATAATATAAACATGCAGGTCATAGTTTACTTCTGATAATGTTTCTTGTTGAAAACTGAAATAACACACCATCTCATTTAAAACACGCAGTCCTCCCTCTTGATTGTAAAATAAAAAAACCAACCAACCAACCAACCAACCAACCAACAAAAATATAGTCTTTATACACTTTAGAGCTTTGGGCTTTTTCATGAATTCTCTCCAGTAATTGATACAATAATTGATATCTTGTTAACACCTGACTAAATAAACTTGGGATTGATAAATAACAGTTCAGAAGTTGGTGAAAAACTCCTGCATGTGTCTGATTTTAAAGAGTTTTTGGATGCACTAGCTCTTCTCCTCTGAGTTAGGGAATAATGGGTTCCTCAGGCAAGGGTCCCTGGAAGTTGTCTGGTATGGAAAAGAAAAATGGGTCTGTGTATACCTAGGAGTTCCTGTTCCTTTTTGCTATGGATTTAGTTTATTTTAGATGTTTCATATGAATTATGCTTAAGTTTCTATATCTGAAATGACACAATGGCTCAATTTAATGGCTCAATTTATTGACGAACTATTATTTTCTTAGATACTGTAAATTAAGGAAATGCTGAAAGGTGAATTTGTTTAGTGAATGTGAACCACATAAATAGTCAAACTAGATGAATTGGGGCTTAATTAACCTCTCTTTCCCCATAATAGCAGTGCTGTTGTTTGATTTTGCTCTTTTTGTTTTCCTTTATTTTAGGTTTAGAAATATACAGATTTTGTAGGTCATTCAGGAATTGTAAATTGTTCAGGATTTACACCTTCATCCCTGTCAAACTGTGGTCGTGGAAAAACTCATTAGCTTAAATTATCCTAAATTATCTCAAAGTTCATTAATCACTTCAAATTTCCTTTTAATTTGGCCATTTTACCTGATTTGCTTAGGCTTGGTTAAACATAAATTTTAAGTGGCTATTGATTTACAAGTATCATCCTTGACTTTAACTTCAGTCCAAACCCAGAATGAGTTAGAATCTGTTTAAAGGTTAGTACATGTAAGGACTAACAAAACATTACTTCTTTAGAATGTTTTGATGTGTGTAGCATCTACCTTTGGTTTAACTTTACCATACCTTCAGATATTGAGTTATTTAATGATGAGCCAATTATAGGATGTTAAAAAGAATATTTTAATAATATCTTTTAAAATCTCTTTTTAAAGGTCGAACCTCTACTAGCCAGACAACTATATTATTTTGCTCAGCAGAACAGTGGACATTTCCTGAGGGGCTATGATTTACCTGAACACATTAGCAGTCCAGAGGATTATCACAGATCTATTCGCCACTCCTCCATTCAAGAATGAAAACCATCAAGACAAGTGATTTTGTTTCATTTAAATATCTGACTTTAATAGGAACAGCTGATTGAACTGGGGCTTTTTCTTTTGAGAAACTTGGAAATGGGGCTTCAGTTCAACACTTTAGGAGAATCTCAGCAAGAATGAGTATAAAAAACCAACCCCATCTAAATGACAAATGAGCTTATTCCAAAAGGAAGGACAGTCTTCAGGGTCTTCCGTAGACTGCCAACTTTGATGATTACTGTGAAAATTGACCAAAGAAAGTGTTTACATTTACTTAAAATGATATCTTTAATTTGATGTGGATTATTTCTTGCTTTAAAACTGAGAAAACTTGTCTTTCAGTATTTACCACTAATTAGAAGGATAAAAGCACTTAGGTGCTGTACTATTTCTCAGGGAAGTAATATCTAAATTTGAGGTGACTGCCTACAAAAGAAATATATTAATGCACATAGGTGATGTTGCTCTTGTATAAAACGCTTGCTAATAGAAAGAAACAGAATCATTGACTGAGGTTGGACCATGGGCCTCCAGCTTTGGGGTGGCTCATCACCCCACCTGGCCTACGTCTCACTCCATGACAGGCTTCCCTGCCCTGCCTCACACTGTCCCCCATTTGCTCTCTTTTCTTGAGTGCCCCTGGAAGGTACTTGGTATTTCTTGGAGCCAAAAAGCATTAGTGCTATACTCGATTAGTACATTTTTGTCTGTTCTGCAATCTCATAATGATTGGTTAAGATATTTTTTTTGTTTGTCATTTTGTCTGTCCTTCTATAGAAATTATTGCTAAAACTTTGTTTTTCTTTAAAGAAGAAAAAAATATCAACAATCCAAATACTAAAGATATATTTTTGAAACTCGGTGACATTTCCCCTCTTATCCTGTTTGTTTTGTTTGGCTATCAGTTAGTTATCCATGACAACACTAAAGAGGAGGAGCCGATGCTTTTCAATTTAGTGAACTCTGTTAGGAAAGATGATGACAGGATTTCACTGATTGCATAACTGCAGACTCAGTGGGCTGTTTTTGCTTATTTTGTATATTAGATGCTTCCTCATGCCAATATGGTTTGACAGGGCCTTTACTTGCTTAAGTAAACCTGATCACTTCCTTGTTGATTGTTTTGGAAAAGTACAGATGTTTAGACTGTGATGCTGGCAACTGATATTTTTATCATACTACAAAAAAATGCTCTTATTTTCAGGCTCAGCAAAGATTTGATAGTTCTCAAATATATCCACTCTTATTCTAACCTATATTTTTTAAAATCACTCAACACATTGTATCCCTTGCATTAGACAGATTATATATAGCCTTTATCCTGTTTAGTAAGCAATGAGGCATTGGGATGTTATTTTTTTAACTTTTAAAAAGAGTTTTTAATGATAACATAATACATATTAACTATGGAAAATGTAAACAGGTAAACAGTATAGACAGGCAAAAATGAAGCACATCCTCCTTCTTTATCAAAGCCCAAATCCTGCTGCCTTGAAATATCCACAAGAAGAGTTTGACTTATTCTTCCAATACACTTCTCTATAGATATGCATCAGTTCAAAAAAAAAAAAAACCCTCAAAAGATCATCTTGCAACCACTTTTATGCAGTGCTCTTTTAACCTAGCAATACAGATTTACCTCACTCTTTTTAGAGGCATTGTTATCATAGAACTCAACCACCATGTAGTCAGTAGCATAGTTTAAGGAATTTCATCAGCCACTTAGAATGAATACATGTGGACAGCAGATTATATTTCATGAATTGCAGTAATTTATACATCTTATAGATGCAAAATATTTTAGGGTATATTATCCTAAAGGCGAACTGAAAACAAAATTAGGAATTGCTGTGACACAGGTCCAAGTGTGTGGCCCTCTTCCCTGGAGAGTATTTAACCCCATCCCAGCACATCAGAGAAGCTCTATGGTGTCAGTCCCAGGGATGTTTTGTCTTCTGAATTCTCCAAGCAGGTGCTTGATTTCAAATGTTGTCATGAATTCTTTACTGTCTTTTTGTTGTTGTTGTTCTTTATTTTTTAAATCTTAAGCTACTTTAACACTGGAGTTAAATTTTCTGGAAAATACTCCTGGTTTGGGCCACTTTCCCCTTTCTTATGTTTATTCTCATCTACATTGATTTTTTTTTTTAATATGGAGGAATCAGAGTGGTCACTAGTGAATGAATTATGAAATAATTAGGGTGAAGAATCCTGACAGCTGTCTCAGGACTTTGAAAATGAATAGTTGCCTCTTTCTTTGACTTGATGAAGTGGGATTAGCAAAGTAGAATTTAGTTTATTTTCAGTAGAAGATACTATAGAAGACTTTAGGCATTTATTATGCTAAAAAGCTTTGAATGGCATAGTTAAAAAATGTGTCTCACAGGTGCATATTCTAATGGCCTATTTCCTGTTCTTTGGATTTAGTAGAACTGGGCAGTAGTTTATGTCTTTTGGAACACTATAGAGAACTAGGGTGACCAACCCATTTAAAACCCCAACCTTGAAACCCCCTCAGTCCCTGGCAAAACAGGACAGGTAGTCATCCTATAGAGAACCCAGCAAGACTCTTGCCTTTGAGCAAGGAAGAGATTGTTCCATTGGGAGATAAAATTTAAAATCCTGCATGGAATGAGCAGCAGGACAACATAGTTATCACCAAAGCTCAGATATGAATGCCTAGGTTCATGTTTAGAAAAAGGCGCACACTGGGCTAGGGTCTAAACGAGGTTTTCTCTGCATTTCACTGTGTGTAAACCCCAGAGTTGGACAACTCTGGTGAAGGGTCTGGTATGGGTTTTTGCTTGAGAAGCTGAGTAACAGGTGGACATGCATCCCAAGAGAATCCTTGCTCCTGTGTTGGCTGTACCAGTGAAGATCAATGTTTTTTCCCATCAGTTATTTTTAGCAAAAACTCTTTTAGTTCAACCCCCCTCTTATTTCTCTTTGATCAAATTTCTCCCCTTTCTCCAGGTGAATGCTTTTTTGGAAGTGATGAGCTTCCTTAAGGCCCATAGTTTTACAACATATCTCCCTAGTTTATAATTGACTGGCATCTACTTAAATGTTGCATTAGGGCTATCCTGCCCTATGTATTGTTCTGCAATTTACTTTTTTCATAGTCTTGTCTTTGAGATTGATCCATGTCAATATAGGTGGGTCTCATCCATCTCTTGTTAACTGGTGGTAAATAGCTTGTCACATGATGACAGTGAAGGTCAATTTTCCTGGTATTTATGTTCACTGCTTTTAGGAAAGCCTGTATGTGAAGTGTAGTTGAAGTGAAGGAGGAAAAAGAGGAGATGTGGAAAGAAAAGAAAGGCCAGCAGTCCAATCCTCCTCCAATATAAACTCATATTTTGCTTTAGACTCTTTGAGATGGAAGAAACCTAATGGGTAGTGAAGTTCATTTTGCTGCACTCCATCTGTTTAAGTGGATAGGACCAAGCAGCCCCCTTGACTTCAATCCAAAGCTATACTGGTTCCATCTTGCTGCTAGGCCTCCCAGGCAAGGGTGTCTGGAGAACTAGGTAGATCATCTCATGGACAATTGTTGTACATAATAATGCATGATTTTTATTATAAAGACTTTTAAAAAAAGTAATCTGTTGTGAGCTGTGTGTGTTATTAAGCACTCATCTTGATAGCTTTTTAAAATACTTCCTCCTTTTGTTGTGTTCTTTCAGAGAGGCTGCCGCAGCAGCCTGCTTCCTTCCTGATTGTCGTATGCGTCCATGAAATCAGATCTCAAAGTGCTCTGCCTGTTTTTAAAAAAATAGCAAAACTTGTTGCCACATAGGACAGTTTCTCCAGCCCACAGAAACACATCTAAGGAGAGTATTGAACAATCCTTTCCCTCTTCTCCCTTGTGTTTTAAAAGGTCTAGTAGACCCAAGGAAATAGTTAAAGTTTCCTTTTGTATTCATTGTTTCTTTGATTTTGTCATTGTAGTTAAAGGGGAGGGGATGTAGGTTAACCAGCATCCGGAATGTGAAATATAACATAGAACTGTAAAAAAAAAAAAAAACCTATTAACTGCTTACAAGTCTAGTGGGAACACTAGAAGGACAATGGTGTTATAAGCCTTGCAGTCAAAGATTTCATGGAACTGTCAAAAATGTTTGTAATCTGCATCTAGGAGCCCCAGAATATTAGCTTAGAAAAATTTTGAAAATTTCCAAGTGGTAATCAAATAGAGCTATTGGGAGTATAAACTATCATACTACTTTTGGGGGCTCTATCTGCTCAACACATATGGACAAACTTGAGTCAATATATATAAGCAGGATTTTTTCCAAAAAATATATCAATTCTTTATGTCTAAAAAAGAATTTCAAAGGGATTTTGAGCCCTTGAACTTGTTCTTAAGTAATTTCACACCTCCTTTAGGTACCAGTGATTATAAACCTTTCTTTATACTAGTGCGAATTTGACTATATTGGGTTCAGTTTCCTTAAAGCAAGTTTTATCTTGACAAATACATACTTTTATATAAAGTGCACTAGCAGTGTTTATCAATGACAGTGTTTATCATCAAGTTCTACATCATCTCTTTGGAAAGACACTCCAAGGGTCATAATATCTCTTTTTTCCCCCCAAATTAACTCATGTAGATAGATCTCTTCTGAATTAGTAGAGAGTTATTATTCTAAGGTGTTATAGGTATGAAGAAACCCTTTCAGTGACCCCTGTTCCTGCTAGGTTGGCAATATGTTGGCAGATGGCGGCCTCTAGCTATTTCCTCTGCCATTTTTGTTTCGCCCACCTGTCAGCCATAAGCTATTATAAAGTTTATTTTATCCCTGTCCTTGAGTGACTGTTCAAAAGTTTGGACTTATAGAGTTCAATTATGAACACTTTATTATTCTTGAAAAGCTGCCTTGTGTGTTTTAAAAGGTCTAGTAGTTTCTCTACTTAGGTAAATTACCATTCTCATTTTTCCCCTTTTTTTATAGGCCGGGGCTTGATGGTACTTTAAAGAGACTCGTCCCAGCAAATATAAATTCCTTTGCCTTTTATTCCCCCTCTCCTCCTGATTCAGGTTTCCATAGCACTCTTTACCTGGAAGAAAATTAGCAAATGCATCTGAAACCTCCACATTTATTTCCTGTCATCCCCCTTTCTGATTTCACATGCCAACTCTGCCAGACTATTACAATAACACCTCTTTCCTCTCCTGGAAGACTTCTCCTGCTGCTATCTGGTCACCTGGCTAACCCCTTTTGCTCCGCTAAGTCTTAGCCATGACATTTTCTCTTTCTGGAAACATTTTTTCACTTCCTACGACTAGGTCAGGAGGCTTTCTTATTTGTACCTTCTGTTTGGCTTTGTAAAGGATCATGTTGTTGGAGTATTGAAAAAAACACCCCCACTATGTACACTCACATTGTCTTCTGCCTACTCCCAACAATTAGGTCATCACTGCTGCAGAGGAGAAAGGAACTAACTTAGCTGTCTGCTCCTGGCATTTGTCTTCTAAAGATACTCTTTCTGGGAGAAAACTGGACTCAAGACATTGGGATTTAAGAAAAATAAATTTTTTCACCCTTTCTGGTCTCCCACCCGAGACTAGAGAAAGATGCTCAGAGCATCAAAGAAGGATGAGAAGAAATGAATGTATAGACTTCAGCAGCTCCCAGATAAAGAATAACAAAACCACAATGAGATACCACCTCACACCTGTCAGAGTGGCTAAAAATA